TAGATACCATCAAACATCCAAACATCCAGATAACTGGTATCCCAGAAGGTGAAGAGACTCATAAGGGCATTGATAATCTATTCCACGAAATCCTGCAAGAAAACTTGCCAAACTTAGAGAGGCATTCAAAGATCCAGTCCCAAGAAATACAAAGGACCTCAAATAGAATCAACCCAAGAAGATTCTCCAAGACACATTATAGCCAGATTGACCAAAACCACAAAGACAAGATACTAAGATTGGCAAGAGAAAAATGGCAAGTTACCTACAAAGGATATTACATCAGGGTAACCACAGACCTCTCATCAGAAACAATGCGAGTGAGGAAAAAATAGATAAATATATTCAAAGTGTTAAGGGAAAAGCAATTTCAAACAAGAATACTGTACCTGGCAAGATTATCCTTCATATGGAAAGATAACACAAGAACATTCTCAGATAAACAAAACCTGAAAGAATTTACCAACACCAGACCAGATCTCCAAGAAGTTCTCAAGGGAGTACTATGCCAGGAAAATTAAATACAAATACACAGAAATAAGAGTTCAAAAACTAAGAATATGTCCAACTTAATCATAGGGACAAGACTGGAGTTGATTATTATATCCCAGAATTTAATAGGGAAGATCAAACCACAGCAGAAGATAGAGTAAGTACATGAGACTGAACTGGTGAAATAACATTTTATTACTTTTGACTAAAACATTGCTGATTTTTTTATTACTTTTGACTAAAACATTGTTGATTTTTTTTTCTAGGTTTTTTTTTCCAGTTTTAAGGATTTTTGTCCCGTCTTGAGCTGTCAATAGCTCATGTTCATGTACCTACTATTTGAACAGAATCCTAACCTGTTTCCTGGATTTAAGTTTTAAGCAGTCTCTTAGCATTTCTATGATTTATTAAAGTTAGAACTGCTTTTCTTGAAATTAAAAAGTATATTTAAAAATACCTATTTAATGATCATAGTCATCCATATAGCATCAACTAGCTGCTACTTTATAGTATAGTCATTCTACTCAGAATTTCACGACTAAAGTCAGACATGTATTCACAGATATGCACATACCAGCTGAACTTGCTGTTGAAAGTATTAGATTATTTAAGAAATTTTGTGAATCAATAAAATGTGGGGGGAAAAGAAATGTAAAACAACTTTAGATACAAGAGATAGTGTAGGAGGAAGGTAGAAAATGGCAGAGGGTCAGAAATAGGGGTAAAATATATCAATACATATATATGCATATATATATATATATATACATATATATAAAACTAGAAATGGAAAATTATCAATGATAACATGTATGATTAAGCCACTATGCAGTGTATCCTGGAGGGGAAATCTCATTTTGTATGCTGTGATGATGCTTAGGGAATGAATATAAATTAATTAACTAAAAATGTTTAAAAAAAAAAAGAAAAAGAAAATGTAAGTATGTGGATGTGAGATGACCCTTATGTTAATATGCTTCATTTAATAATTTCACAGTGCATATCTAAATCAAAACACCACATTGTCTACTGAGTACATGCAATCAAGTGTATCTTAATAAAGCTGGAAGAAAAAACTAGAATGATGAGTATAATCTATAATATAATAGGCATTATCTCTGCTACAAATTGTACAGAAAGGAACCAGCAGATGGTGTAATGATTACATCACTTTAGTCCCACATGGCCAATGGCGGTTTGAGTGGCAGAGCTGGCAGCCTGAACCTCACACCAGGCACATTTGCGTGAATGTCCAAACGCCCAAGAGGAGAACGGTGGAGCAGGGAATGTGGAGTGGCCATTTGTCCTAGGGAATGATTTCTTTCTTTCTGTCTCTCTGTCACTCTCTGTCTCTCTGGCAAGCACATGCACCCTATAGCAAAAACCTCTCCAAAAAATGTACAGAAAATATTTGTGTTATTATGACTAAACTAATAAAGCTTAAATGAAAGTATTTTATTGTGTCATATGTGACCCTAGTTTAAATGGTGCAAAACATCTACCTTTGGCCATGTGTAGAAGAGCTGGGGAGTAGATGCTGCCCACAGTTTATCCTCCTGTTGATTTTAACCATTACCATATAGTCACTTCTCCTTTTTACTTATTTCCTTAGGATTATAAAATTATAAACATTCAATAATTATAAATCACTTAGCTTGTAAAGTGAAATGACCCAACATGAATGCACTTCATACCAGTTCATTTGTGGATACAAAACACATTATCATTAACAGATAATATTTTTTAAGTTTTTGCCATAGGGTGTGTGCAATTGCTATTGAGCGAGAGAGAGAGGGAAATTAAATTATCACCCTGCAGGGGGAATGACCATGGCACAATCCCTTCTCCACTCTCCAGCTGGGATTTTGAGGAGGCATGCACACACACACTAAATGTTATGTAAATACCTTTTTATAACAATATGCAGTTCTTGGGAACCAGCAGTTAGTGTACTGGCTATGTCGCTGTACTCCCATGTAGTCGACTGTGGTTCGCGTCCCGGACCCGGTGGCTTAAAACTCACGTTGGGCGCGTGTGCGTGCATGCCCAAGATCCCAAGAGGGGAATGGAGGAGAAGGGATTGTGACATGACCATCCCCCCTGGGGGATGATTTCTCGCTTTCTGTCTCTATGTCTCTCTCTGCCTGGCGAGCGCATGCACCCTATAGCGAAAACCTCTCCAAAAAAATAATAATATGCAGTTATTGTATTCATGGAACAAAAATTATAGAACAAGTAATAATAACATGGAAGAAATTATTTTAAGAAGAATGAGAAAATATCTTTATAGATTAAAAAATAATTCTGCAGCAGAACTTTGACTGTAACATTTGTTTCAAGAGAAAACTTTATAGTCTCTGTCACAAATATGTCTCGCAATGATGAAGTATGTTTTCTTGATGAAAATTGGAGCCATGAACTGACTCACAGACTAGTTAATTCGGTAACACTAGCAAGGACCTTCCTCTGTGATGGATGAGTGTGAGATGTGCACATGCATTTTAAGCAAATGTGTTGAAGCATCTACAGGGACTAGGAGTTGTGTGCGTATTTCTAGAAAGATGTTGGGGTATGGATTATGACATGAGCATGTTACATGCAGCGAATTAAAAGCATTGTTTACACCAAGAATATGAATTGTGGAGACAGCCAGGGTGCCAGAAATAGGGTAGGACTGAGAGAGCAAAGAAAACTTGGAAGAGTTAAGTATAAAAGATCAGCAAATGTCAAACCGTCCTAGGAGATGTTTATAGACTAGAGAGGTGATGCTACCTCTCCAAACCATTATGTTTCAAAGATGCAAACACCTTCCTGATCCCAGCCTGCATCTCCTTGTTGCGGAAGCTGTACACCACGGGGTTCAGTGTGGGGGTCACGAGGGTGTAGAGTGCGGCTACTACCTTGTCTCTGTCAAAGCTGTAGCTGGATGCAGGGCGGATGTATGTGTAGATCACCGGGGAGTAGTACAGGCACACCACCGTGAGGTGGGAGGAGCAGGGCACCGTGCGGAGGCGGAGAAGGGCGGCGACGATGAAGCCGTAGGAGATGCAGGTGAGCGCGAAGTCCCCCACGGCCAGGGTGATATCCGCGACGTACACCATCACTTCATTGACCCTCACGGGGCTGCAGGACAGAGCCAGCAGTGGCGGGATCTCGCAGAAGAAGTGGTCGATGGTGTTTGGGCCACAGAAAGTCAACCTCAGGGTGAGACCTGTGTTCACGCCGGAGTTGATTATGGCAATGGCCATGACGGTGCCGAGCAAGGTCACGCACGTGCAGTGGCTCATGATAGTGCTGTACCGGAGGGGAAAGCAGATGGCCACGTAGCGGTCATAGGCCATGGCGGTGAAGAGAACCATCTCGGCCCCTAGGGACCACGTGAAGAAGAAGAGCTGAGACATGCAGCCCCCGTAGGAGATGGTCTTGCCGGAGGCCAGCATGGTCCCCAGCATCTTGGGCATGATGCTCGTTGTGCAGATGATGTCAACGATGGCGAGTGCCAGGAGGAGGACGTACATGGGGGTGTGCAGGGTGGTGTTGCAGGCGATGGCGACGACAATGAGCATGTTGCCAAGGAAAGCCACAAGGTAGACCAAGAGGAAGATCAGGAAGAGCAGCCTGCGGAGTTCAGGTGTTTTGGCCAGGCCCAGAATTATGAACTCGGTCACTGGGCAGAATGAACAGCTGAGAGGTAAATGGATCTGTGGGCCGATAAGAGACAGCACAGAGAGTGTGTGTGTGTACTCGGGAACTTTACAATCGCTTTTATACCGCTTCACAGCATGGATCCTTCAGGATGGAGTTCTTTCTTCCAGGCAGTATCCTCTGTCCAGAAAGATCCCATTCTCAGGCTGGTGTTCTTCCATAGACATCACAGGGAAACTACACCAGAGATTAGGAAGGAAAGTATAGGCAAAAGGAGTTTCATCAAGATGTTAATATTATCATTTGACTTGAAAATTGCCTGGGTATAGGTTCCTTCTCTCTCTACATACACACACATATCCAATGGACATAGATACAAATAATTAGATATCTTAATCATTCAGTTAATGGCATGGTATTTTTGGGTGTCTTCATTGAGCCATATCTGACTAAGAATATTTGGGACAATAGAAGCTGACAAGACTAAATGTAGCGGAAGCATTTCAAGGGGGGAAATGCCCACACTAACATTGAGGAGCTGTGTATTCACTGACTGATATATTGTAGTACAGATATACAACATTTTAGTCAATGACTGCACTTAGATTTTTCTATAATTTGATGAATACGTTGCTAAAATAGAGTGAAATAATTATTTGCTTTGTTTTCTTTATTTATGTATTAATTTATATTATATTTATTTGTATGTTATACTATAATAAATATTTATTATTATTCCTTATAACAGAGAACTTGTGCATGCTTAATAAACAAGAGAAAGGGTTGAGAGAGAGACAGAAAGGAGCCCTGTACAGGGTCTGGTTAACTGCTACCCCACTGCCCCACAGCCCTCTAACCCATTAGTTCAGCATACTATCAGCTAGCTCACAGAAGCTGGGCCAGGTTTTGAATTTATTTTAGCCGAATATTATTAAAGTACTCCTTGTGTTTTATTTTGAGATACAGAACATTCCACTGTTCTTTTATAAATGTAACAAGTAAATTGAAATTGAACTTCCTCAGTCTGGAGTTCCCATCTGCTTTGATTTCATATATGGTAAGAATATTCAATTTGGGTCCAGCACGTGGCATGGTGGTTAAGATGCTGGACTCCCACATGGCCGAATGAGGTTCAAATCCTGGACCCGATGGCTTGAAAATCACTTTCCCTGTCTCTTGTTGAATTAAATAATAATAACAATCAAAATAAATAAAATAATTCATTAAAAAGAATATTGGATTTGAAACAGTATGATTTTATTGTGTATTCATTTAATTATGATTGCAAATGGGCTAATTTCATCTCCACACATTTCAAATACCTTCTTTCTTTCTTACCTTTTTTTAGGAGAGAGATATTTGCTATAGGGCACATGTGAACATGTGAGATACATACATATGTAGAGAGAGACAAGGCAGGAATTTACAACTCCCCAAGGGGATGACCATACTGCAGTCTCTTCTCCTCCATTCTCCTCTGGGATTTGGGGCATCCACACACATGAGCCTGTGTGAGTTTTTAGCTGCCGGGTCCAGAACTCAAACGGTGGTCAACTACACAGGAGTCCAGTACTAAGACCATTACTACATCTGCCAGTCCCCAAATATTCTTTAACTTATCAGAGATTACATTGTGTCTCTGATAGCTGAAGAGGCTTAAGTAAAAATTAATTCTGAGTGTAGGTCCACGAACATAGATGGGATTGCTCCTTCGGCCCCTCTAGCCTCAACTGATAATTTGCAAACTA